AATAAACAAATATGCATTGGAAGGTTAATCAGTTAAATGATTCTGCTGAGGTGTAGTAACACAGGCACATGTTCTGCAGGCTCAAATACGTGCCTTTGCCTGCATTTCTCGAAAACCTGAAATGCATTGTTTCAGGTAGCTTTCGCTGCACTTTTCAGATGAAACATCCACAAGAGGTGCTATAAGCAATATATATATATATATATATATATATATTTTTTTTTTATTTATTTTTTTTTCTCGCAGATGCAGGTTTATTGAACAGTCATGAAAAAATGTACCTGTGGGTTACATTTTACAGTTTTTTTTTTTTTTTTACACACTGTATTGTTTGTAGCACAAACTGCACTAAATAGCATGTTCAGTGTCCTCTGAAAGAACATTTTATTACATTGGTTGTTGTACAAATTACAGCAGTTTGTAAATGAAATGTCCAGTGTGACGCTAAAATTAACCTTCCACCTGTTTAGCTCAGTTCAGTCCTTCAGTCCCTGTCCGTTCTTACGTCTATTGAGTCTATTTAGTTGGACTGTTTGGAGTTGGTATTGCCCATGTCCCTTCCCCTGATGTAGATTTGCTCTCTATGAGCATGGATAATAAAATTGACTCACTGGCTCCACCAAGTCTCCTATCTCCTTTTTTGCCGTGCGTCCGTCCTAGCTAGGGCTGACACGATACCACAATTTTCCAGATAAGATACTTTTATTTTTAGTACTTGCTGATACAGAGTACCGATTTAATAATAATAATAATAATAATAAAATATTGGGCAGAGAAACCAAAGTAACATGAATCAATTTAGTTGGCTTAACAAATAGATACTGTTACAGTATAGAAGCTACTGTTGCTTTGACTATTCATTTTATTGCTCTGTCATATGTATATTTAATTTATTAGCAGAGTGGATATTTATAGCAGCTCCCAGCAGGGCTCAACCAGTTAAGAGGAGTGAGTGGAGAATTATAACAAGAACACAACCTCAGTATCGGGCCCGATACCCATGCTGGTATTGGAACATCCCTAGTCCCAGGCTGTGGTCCCTGCCAGCCTCAAGTGTCCTTTGACACCACTGGTCCCGCCAAACCTCCCACTGCCTCCTCCACTGACAACTCCATTCAGATCTTCAGCCTTGATTCCACCTTTAGTGACCCTGTCCAGCTACTCGGATCCCCTTTGGGCTTTCTGGTCACCAGCTTTACCCTGGTGTGTCGATGCACACCTCAAACATCTGACCTATCAGCTCCCCCTTGGCTCCATTCTCTCTCGCCTCTACCGTTGTTCGTCAGCCCTCAAGTTCAGCCGGGCATCCTCGTCCCTCTGGCTTCGCCTTGGTCAGTCATCACCCTATTTGCACCATAAACTTCCGGGCCTCTGGCTGTGCCTCATCACTCAACCCCTTCGGTTTCATCAGGCTCCTCCTTCCTTACTGCTCCACTGTTTTCTTCACTCCCACCAGCTCCACTCCAGTCTGCCAAGCTATTGTCTACATCTCAGCCTTGCAAGCATGTGGATCTGCCATGGCCTTCCAGACCCACGGTGTCACCATGGGAATTTTATCTTCAGCTCAATCTGGGTCTCCACCCCTCCCCGCTACATATCACTCCATCAGATTCCTGGCTCCACCCTGGCTCCTCGCTCCATCGGTTCTGCCATGAGTCTGGCTCCTCTCTACTCCGTCTCCTCCTTGGCTTTTCCAACCGCCGACTCCCATTTGGACTACTCCTTACTCTGCTTCCCCATGGACTCTTTCTCCCATTCCCTCTTGGACTCTTCCTCCCATTCCCTCTCGGACTCTTCCTCCCATTCCCTCTTGGACTCTTCCTCCCATTCCCTCTTGGACCCTTCCACCCATTCCCTCTTGGACCCTTCCACCCATTCCCTCTTGGACCCTTCCACCCATTCCCTCTTGGACTCTTCCTCCAATTCCCTAATAGACTTTTCCTCCCATTCCCTCATGGACTCTTTCTCCCATTCCCTTGTGGATTTTTCCTCCCATCCCCTCATGGACTCTTCCTCCAATTCCCTCATGGAATTTTCCTCCCATTCCCTCATGGACTCTTTCTCCTATTCCCTCATGGACTTTTCCTCCTATTCCCTCATGGACTCTTTCTCCCATTCCCTCATGGATTTTTTCCTCCCATTCCCTCGTGGACTCTTCCTCCCATTCCCTCTCGGACTCTTCCTCCCATTCCCTCTTGGACCCTTCCACCCATTCCCTCTTGGACCCTTCCACCCATTCCCTCTTGGACTCTTCCTCCAATTCCCTAATAGACTTTTCCTCCCATTCCCTCATGGACTCTTTATCCCATTCCCTTGTGGATTTTTCCTCCCATTCCCTCATGGACTCTTCCTCCAATTCCCTCATGGACTTTTCCTCCCATTCCCTCATGAACTATTTCTCCTATTCCCTCATGGACTTTTCCTCCTATTCCTTCATGGACTCTTTCTCCCATTCCCTCATGGATTTTTTCCTCCCATTCCCTCGTGGACTCTTCCTCCAATTCCCTCATGGACTTTTCCTCCCATTCCCTCATGGACTCTTTCTCCTATTCATTCATGGACTTTTCCTCCAATTCCCTCATGGACTTTTCCTCCCATTCCCTCTTGGACTCTTTCTCCCATTCCCTCTTGGACTCTTCCTCCAATTCCCTCATGGACTTTTCCTCCCATTCCCTCTTGGACTCTTTCTCCCATTCCCTATTTGACTCTTCCTCCCATTCCCTCATGTACTTTTCCTCCAATTCCCTCATGGACTTTTCCTCCCATTCCCTCTTGGACTCTTCCTCTAATTCCCTCATGGACTTTTCCTCCCATTCCCTCATGGATTCTTCCTCTTGTCCCTCCTCCAATTGACCTTTTTTGTTGTTGTTATCTGATTTGAAACACTATATTCATTCACAAATAGAGCTCCATGTGTGAAGCGAACAAGAGGCTAGTTCCAATGAAGTTTTGACAATAGCAGGTTGTAAAAAAATATAACAGGGACATTTTAATTAACTTGTAATTTTAATTTTATATTAATTAACTACAATTGTACAGTACTTGGCATTAATAATATACATTTATATATTGCAGTGCATTTTGGGATTGGCTTATTTATGAAGCATGTATGCGATGATACCTCATTTGTGGGCCAAAACGGGTTATTGTAGAAGTCAGCATAATGTTTCTGCCTTCTTTTTTTAAAAAAGGTTCTGCTTTCACTCTTTTTTCACCCATCACCTCTAGTTTCATTTTTGACCCTCTTTAGCACTTTGTGTGACTCAGTGTGTTCTCTGATGGAGGGGGTAAAAAGTGGCTTTGGCACATTTACAAAACAATGCCTTTAATCCAAAACAGAAAAAGTGAAAGCAAATAACTTAATTCCGCAAATAAAAAAAAACATCCAGCTTTTAACTGACTCCAGATTTGAAGCAGTAACTGAAGGCACAGATAGTTGTCAGGGTTGCTGTGCTTTGCCTCACAGGCATTAGGCCATAAATCAATCCCACCTCACTGCACGTCTTTCCTGCCAACACACGTTATGGCCTGCACCTACGCCACACTTCACACTACTGTACTTTTAATAATTCTGATGTTTCCCTCAATCTGTATTAGAGAAGAGTTGGAGCAATTAGTTTTGGGTCATTGGTAATCCATACAAACATTAGATTATTATTGATAGATTTTACCAAGATGATTTGTGATATCACTTACCGGTACGTCCATATAGCACAAACATCGTAGGATGAGTTACAAGCCAAAGTTTAATTAGAGGTTGGTTCAAATCTGTGAACAATAGTGTGTAATTGAACAAAATCTGGATGTAACAACACAGATGAATGTAACACTTTACCTTCTTCTTTTCTCCTTCAGATTTCAAGCAGACGCTACAGTTTTCTGTTCACACTTTCTTTTAAATACATTTCAAGAAATGGAGGTATAGCAATAAAAATCAGTTTTGTGGCAACAACAGATTTCACATTGCATTAGACATTCTCTCTTGAAAAGCTAGTCTGCGCAGGCGGCTAAAAATACATCTGTTCATATATCATTGATACGTTCATTAGAGAGGGGATGCAAGTCAGAATTTATTTGCCGCTGTGGCGTAATGCGGCTTGACAGGGAAGCATCCCTGACACATTAACTCTGTCTAGGGTGTTGTGGATTTACAGAAGGTGTTTTAGTGTAGTGTGGATGTTTTAGGTTTGTATATGTTATTTTTCATGTCTTAGTCAGCTGTGATTGCTTAAATGTTGCAGACACAGGTAGGTTTGTTCTCGATTACGATATTGGAAAGTGTGTGTGTGTGTGTGTGTGTGTGTGTGTGTGTGTGTGTGTGTGTGTGTGTGTGCAGATTTGGGTCAGTATAAAGAAATTAATACTTTTATTCAGCAAGGAAACATTAAATTCATTGTGGCAGTAAAGACATTTATAGCCTAATGTTAGAAAAATGTCAAATAAATGCTGTTTTTAAAAACTTGCATCATGGTTTCAACATTGACAATAATAAGAAATATTTATTGAGCAGCAAATTGACATATTAGAATGGTTTCAGAAGGATCATGATTTGACACTGAAGACAGGAGTAATGTTTTCTGAAAATTCAGATTTGTCATCACAGGGATAAATTACATTTGAAATGTATTAAAATAGACGGGATATATTATGTTTTCCTAATTCTACACCACACCGATTTTTTTTTTTTTTTTGCATTTTTGGATTTTCAAAAAACATCACTATTTAAATATTTAAAAGCTAAGATTTTATTTTATAAATCCTTATAAAAGATGTAAGGTAAAATATTTTCTCCTTTTATAAATGCTTTTATAAATGCTAATCAGGCACAGTTGTTAACATGGCCTGTTTTATAATTGTGATCTTAATTTTGTCCCCAGAACCAAAATTTGTAATAATTGCAATCAGACATGTAAAATGAATTGATTTTTTATTCAATCATATTTATCCATAAAGACTCTTCATATGTGCACAGCTTATAAAATCATATGTGTCATCCCCAGATCTCACAGGCACAGTTTGCACAGGTCTGGCCCTGTGTGTTGTGGGACGGCCGAGAGAACACGTCTGGCAGTGCGTCTCCTCCCGTCGCTGCTCGATTTGTCCTGCCGTCCATGTCCTCATCTGTCTCAGATCAGTCTGAGCATTTTTCTTTTCGTTGTAATGTGGTTTCCCCGTCTGTACACGCATTACTGCAGCCAGTGGCTCTTTCTGCAGGCTCAACACATCCCCGTCAACAGGTGAGACATGCGTGACCGTCCACACAGAACAATCATTCACAAACACACAGTGTCAAACTCATCATTATTCCAAACACACAAACACATGCAGAAATATTCCAAGAGAGAATATGCTGACCTTTACAAATGTCTGCTTACAATAATTCACTGGAAACACACTCGCACGCAAAAAAAAAAAAAAAAAAATGCAGGTGATTCATGCCCTGTTGTCATATGTTGCGCATGTGCATTTATACGCAAGCAAACAGACTCATACACGTGCATCTTTTACAAGACTTGTCTAAACTTTAACAACCTCACGAGGGGAAAGTCGGTTGATTATAACATGCGGTGGTACGGGTTTTTAAGTGTCCATTATTTGGAAAGAATTTATCTTCTCCTATTGTGTGGACAACGTTTCATCATAAACCCTGTGTGATACCGCAGTGTGGTTCTGTTTTGCATGTGGTGTTAATTTAATTTATCATCCAGAAGTCACCCAGTGAAAATTCTTATGCACCAAGTTGCGTCGTTGCCAAACAAATCTGTTCATTAAATAATGGAAAACGACTGACAGAAGATGAGAGGAATTTAAAGGAGGACGGATGAGGGAGAAACAAGTGGAAAACACAGAGCCGGGGTCATAGGCTCATGACATGTTCCACATGTCTGTCCGTTTGTCCGCTGCGAGCGTTTCTCTACAGGGCTGGTGACCACAGTAGCGGTCAGAGATCAGCTGCAAACTGACAACACACACACACACACACGCTCGCACGCCCCGCAGTCATTAGCGTCTCTCTCTCACTCTACCCCACGCACATTTCATTACCCCCAGCATTCTCACAAATACCACCCCCCTCCACTCCTACACACACAAACACACTTCAAAATCAGCACACAACCTTGCAGTGCCAAATGAGTCCCACCCGTCTACACAACAACATGTGTTCTGTGGATTTTATTGCACCACAAGCATGTGGAAAAACTCTTCATTACCAACACAGGTCCTGTTGTAAACGCTGGAGTGAGTTGTGTTAGGTGGCTAAATCTGTTGACGTAATTTACAGCAAAGCATCCTAACAAACATGAAGAGTGCGTTTCATATTTGACAATGGAATAGAATCAAATCTGGAATTGTATGTCACATACATAATATGCAGATCAAATCAGACTGAAACTCAAGACTAGAATAATATAACAAAACTGAATCAGGTCGAGTTGAATTAAATTGAATTGAATTTGACTATAAATATAATTTTAAAGATAAACATTTATTAGAAAGACATAACCTACTACAGTAAGTATTGGAAAATGCTGAAATGTTAGAACAGCTGGAGTGGTGAACGTGAGCAGCAGAAATGGGCCGAATAGGTGAAATGAAGAGTGGAAGAGATTCCCAGGTAACATTAGAGGATGATTAATGAGCAGAGAGAGGATGGTAGATTAGGAAAGACATGAAACTTTGTGCAAAAACACAACATATTAGTGTAAGTTCTTATACCTTTCACCTTATTTTTTTGCTGTTGTTTGATTTTCAATTTGGTTTCACTTTACATCATGCCTACAATATATTAAACATAAAGGGTCTTCGTAGTTGGAAAAATATAATTTAGATTTTTAAATTATTATTTTTTTAAAAAGTTTTTTTTTTTTTTTTTTTTGAACTGTTCACTGAAAGGTTCTGTTGGAAACCCCAAAATGGGGTTTCTCTTTGTTTTTAAGAGCGTAACAACACCACATAGCTTGGAATTGTTGAAGTTTACAATTTACAACCATTATATGAAGAATTCTAATTTAATTTTCATTTGATAATCTTGCTAAATCATTTCATGTGTCTCTCGGGGCAGGTTTGGGTTGGGTGCGCACACGGTGGATCTGGTCTATCAGGGTTCGCTTCTATCTACCCTAGAGGAGGTTCTGCTGGTGCTGCTAGGCCCCCTGACCTTGAATGCAGCTACGCTACTGCTGCTCCTGATCAGATGGGGCTGTCAGCTAGCGTTTGGCTCACCGCCCTCCTTCCTGTCAAAGTTTATCATGGCTGCGGCTGTGTGGACAGTGCTGGACCCTCTGGCGGTCTTTGCTGTGGATGCCGTCCTGGGGGTAAGTCACTTAAAATAACGTGGACACTTCTGGACTGTATATAGAAGTTTCACATTATCTTAGCAAAGTCACTTTACAAATAAAATTGAATGTGAGAACAAGGATGAGATAGACAGACTGTCGAGAGAGAGCATTATTCAGGTGTATTTTTGGTTGGGAATGATGAATGGCATTTACATATTCTAATACACTGTACATTCAGAAGTTTAGATATATTAAAAATCAAACTTAGAATTGTAAACATCATCCATATTTAAATGGATCGTAGAATATATTATCATGCATATACAGTTGAGCCCAGAATTAATCATATCCCTGGTAAATATGATCAACAATGGCTGCATCGTTTGTCCTTTTGATCTTTCATTCATAAAATTGGCAAAATTCGAACCTTTCGTTTAAGTAAAAGAATTGAACGTGAGGCGGAAATCACATTATAAAATAAATGTTTTTCTCCAAAACACGTTGGCCACAATTATTAATACCCCTAGAATTTTTTATGAATAAAATATCTATGAATTATATTCCCATTAATATTCACCTTTTTTAGCACACCAGGGTGACTAGGAACATGAAATTGTCCAGCCTTGACTTCTTGTTTCATAGGAGTTTAAATATGAGGAAGCACAAAGGCGAAATTCCCTGAATCATCCATCACAATGAATAAAACCAAAGAACATGGTTCTGATGTGCATCAAAAGATTGTTGAGCTTCACAAAATAGAAAGTGGATGCAAGAAAACAGCTAAATAGAAAATGAAATTTCCCATTTTGACCATCAGGGCAATAATTAAGAAGTTATAATCAACTAAAGATGTTACGATTCTGCCAGGAAGAGGATGTGTGTCTATATTTCCTTAATAGATGGTGAGGATGAAAGTTTGAGTGGCCAAAGACTCTTCAAGGATCACAGATGGAGAATTGCAGAGATTAGTTGAGTCTTGAGGGTCAGAAAGCCTAAAACAAAATAAAATAAATAAATATTAAACAACCCCTGCATCCCCACATGTTGTTTGAGAGGGTTTCAAGAAAAATCCTCCTCGCTCCTCCAAAAACAAACTGTAGCATATTCAGTGGTCAGACACGACTGGATCTTCAAACGGCACAGGGTTCTGTGGTCAGATGAGACTAAAAAATGAGCTTTTTGGCAGCAAACACACTAGATGGGTTTGGTGCATACAAGGATAAAAAGTACCCCATATGTACAATTTAATATACCATTGGATCTTTAATGTTGGGGGCCTATTTTTCTGCTGGAGGTCCTGGACTTCTTATTCAGATACATGGCATTGTGGATTCTATCAAATATCAACAGATAAAAAATCAAAACCTGACGCCTTCTTCTAGAAATCTTATAATGGGCCGTGGTTGGATCTTCCATCTGGACAACGATTCAAAACAAACATCAAAATCAACGCAAAAATGTGTTAGGGAGCACAAAATGCTTCTGCCATGACCATTCCAAACCCTGACATGAACCATATAGAAAATGAGTGGTCTGAACTGAAGAGAAGAAGCACCAGCCTGGATCTGGGAATCTGAAGGATCTGGAGAGAGTCTGTATGGAGGAATGGTCTATGATCTCTTTTCAGGTGTTCTCCAAACTCATCAGGCATTATAGCAGAAAACTCAGAGCAGTTATCTTGGCAAAAGGAGATTGCAAAAAGGTATTTAATATAAGGGTATGAATAATTGTGGCCAACATAATTGAACCCCCCCCCCCCCCCCCCAATAATTCAATTATTTTACTTAAACGAAAGGATAGGATTTTGCCAATTTTATGAATGAAATATACAAAAGGATAAACGATGCAGATTTATTTTTTACAGCCATTTTTGATCATATTTACCAGGGGTATGATTAATTCTGGGCACGACTGTATAGTATAATGATGATGAACCAATGAAGATGTGGCATAACTAAAAAAAAAACATTGGCTGCTCCAAACACTTAACCTCCTAATTTCAGTTTATGGAAATATTATATACTGTTTTTATTTATTTATTTTTATCTATCAAGCTTTTTTATTTTTAAGTTTTCCCTTGTGAAAAGAAGTGCTCTTCAAATCTGGTATTTTTAAAGGACAGTACTGTAAAGTGTAGGCCTACTTAAAGATAGTGCACTTTAATGAGAACACATTTTTTAAAAAGTGGACTTTGTAGTAGACAAATTAAAACTTTTTTACTTAAAAGCACAGTTTACCTTATTATGTTTTAATAATCATTTCTCATGATTTAAAGAAGAACACCTATTTTAATGTATTGATAATTATACAATTAAAGAAACTTGCAAGTAGCCTACTTGAATATGATTTTAACTTCAATGACCATGCTTGTATTATAGCGATCCACCCCCACCATCTTTGGCATCTACCAGGACTTGTTTTAACAGGACAGATTGTACAGAAGTCGCGTAAAACTTTCCTTGTGAATGTGCAACAGAAATGTGGAGAGCAGTGAGGCCTGTTACAGAACATTGGCTGGATTTGCCAGAATTTGCTCCTAAGATGGGCCAACTTGAAAAAGGGCAGAATTGTTCTCCCTTTACAAATTATGTGTTCAACCAATTGAACCCATAATTTGGATTAATTAATAATAACCCACCTATGCACTATTCTGGTGCTCTTCATGTGGTGGTCAAAAATGTGCTTTTTGAAATTAATGTACTATATATTTATTTTTTTATATTTTGTATTTTTAGGGGATTTTATGTTACTAAATTATATTTATGCAGTAGTTATAATCCATTTATTCACTTTCTGAGCATAAACCACAGCATGTAATTTTCAACTTAAACTGTCATAAATCTTGAATGCTTTGAATGCTTGAATCTTGAATGCTTTGGAACACCGACTTAAGTTTGGTCTTTGTTGAGACACTTGGCAGATTATTGCAGAATTAAAAATAAATAAATAAATAAAATAAAATAAAATAAAAACAAGTTTAAAAATGTTATATTTATTGTTTTGAAAAAATGCACACAAATACTATTTTAACTTTTTATATGAAATATATATATTTTATCTAGAATTTAGAAAATCAAGACCATTAATCTAAACAAGTTGTTTTACAAATTTTAAGATTTAGTTTGGGTGCAGTACCAAAAGTGTCCACTAGATTAAATTTATTTCTCATTTATTTCCAATTCACCTTTGGCTAAGCCCCGCCCCCTTAGTTACTGTTGCTACATCCATCAAACTTCATCTGCGCTCTGCATGGCTTATGCTGTAACAGCTCTTCCTGCTGAAATGTTATCAAACTTTTATAAAGCAGCAAATAAAGTGCCCGATAGAAGTAGGCAAAAGGGGCTGCAGTATGCGTTCGAAGGCTATATTCAAGACATACAGCTGAAACGCAAGAACAACAAGGCATCCAAAATAGAGGCAAAAGCATAACGTTACCGGTCACAGTCAAAAAATGAACCACCGCAGATCCTAATCGAGACGGAGGCTGGGACTAACAATATCAGGGAGCAACACTGTTCATGCAAAGCTGGGTAGGTCTCTATTCACTTCTATAATCGTTATTACAAAGCAAACGGACTACACGGGTATAACGTTGTATTTATTAGCAGCGTGCTAGCGAATCAACAACCGGTATGAGAACAGAAATCATAACCTAAAACATTATAAAACGGTCTAACTAGTATAACTTCACACTCACAGTAAGGTTAGAAGTAAAAAAAGATGTGCTTGTTGATCTTTGGGGGGTTTAGCTGACTGAGGACATCCACAGTTTAATCCAAAGACGACACTTGTCAGGATTTGACTTCGGTTTTGGCAAGGGAAAAAACGGACACCCCCCTCCAACCTCTCTGGGAAACGCGTATCTGTGTTACAAATGCCCGAGGCACAACGTTTAACCATATTTTGGATAAAACTACGACGGTAATAGCCTGCCGAGACCAAAAATATGAGACGCCTGTGTTGAAAGTCAATGGAGCGCTGTGAAAAAGTGTCGGACCTCTGTGGGGGCTCGTTCTTGGCTACGCTGTGATTGGCCAATCTACATTCTAGGGCGTGGCTTAGCCAAAGGTGAAATTAGGCTGAAACAACATGCAGGTCCCAGGCACTCAATGAACGGATGAGGAGAAGGTGATGATTAAAAAGCCTTTATTGGAACTGGCTTATTTCATAATAAAAAGGTTTCAAGCCAACATGTTTCGACCAACAAATGAAACATGTTGGCTTGAAACCTTTTTGTTATGAAATAAGCCAGTTCCAATAAAGTCTTTTTAATCATCACCTTCTCCTCATCCGTTCATTGAGTGCCTGGGACCTGCATGTTGTTTCAGTGGATCCTTCCTGTATATCCAAGAGCACCTATCACTGATTTACTTCACCTGAGCGCCTGGTTGAATCTCTTCATAGGTGAATTTAGGCTATTCTTTTTTTGACCGCAAGGAGTACACTTTTTTTCTTCTTTTTTTTTGAGTTGATTCACATATCAAGTGCCAAGTTTTTTATCATTCTGATAAAGAAAATTACGCAAAACATGGTCAAATTTGACGAATCAAAATGACCGAACAGCACCAGAGAGTTATACATTTACAATTTAAATCTGTTTTTAATTTATAAAATATGTTTTGATTTTGTTTGTTCAGCGTCTATCCTACAGTGCAGAGGAACCGTTAGCAGATGCTGCCAAGCTTTACTGGCATTTCTTTAGAACGGAGCAGTCGGGTACAGCAGGCATCATCATCACACTTTTCCTGTATGGCGTCCACTGCATCTTCTCCTTCACCTTTCTTTATGTTTACATCCTCAGGTACAGTACTTTAAAAGCAATCAAACAAACACAAAAATAAAAAAGTTTGGTAACACTTTATAATAACTGTACACTATTAATCATGTGTTAAGCATGAGTAAACAGTTAATTCATCATTTATAAAACATTAATAGACATTAATAAGCAGTTTATAAAAACAGCTATAAATGTTTTTTTTTCTGATTTATAAGCACATCTATAATGCGTTTGATATTTGTATTTTCATTCTTTGTTAATGATCAATTAATAATTTCTAAATTAAGTATAGCATTATTTACAAACCAGTTATTTAAGAGTTGTCAGTCATTCATAAGATCACTTATAAGTAAATGTAGTAAATGCAAGTAGTTATAAAGCATTTAGCAGTGGTCAGTTAACTATGTTTGTGAGCTTATCTAAAGTGAGGACTATTCATGCCTTGTAAAGCATTTATAAAGGAGATCAATCTTCTAAAGTAAAATGTAACAAACACAACACAGTGATACAGAACATAAAAATGTTTAACAGCCTTTAAATCTCCTTTACAAATGCTTTACAAGGCATAAATAGTCCTCACATTAAATGAGCTCACATAGTTAACTGACCACTACTAAATGCTTTATAACTACCCGAATTAACCCTGAATTACAGCATAAATACATGCTAATAAAGCATTTATTAACACACCAAGTAACCGTTACTATATGTCTGAATAATAAGATGTATGAATGTACATTTAAATAGTTTATTAATAATTTACTTACGCGTTCTAAGCAATCTTATGAACCACTGACAACTCTTAAATAACTGGTTTATATAAAAAAATGCAATTCTTAATTTAGAAATAATAAATTGATGATTAATAAAGGATGAAAATACAATTATTAAACAAATTATAGATATGCTTTTAAATCGAGAAGAAAGCATTTATAGCTGTATTTATGAAATGATTATTAATGTCTATTAATGCTTTATGAATGATGAATTAACTGTTTACTCATGCTTAATTAATGATTATTAGCGTGTAGTTATTATAAAGTGTTACCAAAGCATTTCAGATATTTGTCCAATAGTGAAATCAAATGTAGCTTACATTTACAAATCAAATGTAGAAATCAAAACTCTTAATCTCACTGCAGGATTTTAGGGTGCTTTCACACCTGCCTCATTTAGTTCGGTTGAATTGCACTAGAGTTCGTTTTCCCCCTTGGTGCGGTTTGTTTGGGCAGGTGTGAAGGCAACAATCGCACTTGGGTGTGCACCAAAAGCGGACCAAATAAGCGTACCGAGGAGGTCTCGGTACGTACGTACGCTTTCAAACAAACTCTGGAGTGGTTTGTTTGTGGTGAGAAAGTGATCCGACCTCGAACAGCCAAATAACTGCGCATTTTTGGACTAAACCAGCTGCCGTAGTAAAACAAAATGATTATTTATATAGCGAATAGCGCTCCCTTTAAGCCATGACTGACTTACCGTGTTCTGCACTCTCACTAAAACACTCATCATAAACACTGAAGTTGTCCGCACTGCACAGTGAATCTCTTATTTATACAGTATCGCGTCTATACTTCGTTGTTTATGAGGGGATTTGCGAAAGGATAAAGCTCGTGCTGATTCTGAAATACATTGTGAGTGAATTCTCCACATGTCAGCCGAACTTTGCTAGATCCTCTTTGTTTACTTCCAGGAGTTCTGTTGGAATTTTCACGCAAGTTAATTCAGACCAATCGAAGTGCAGTTATGGAAACTATATTTTGGTTCGTTTCATCAAGTCATCAACTGATTCGGACCAGAGCAATCAGTGCGGTGTGAAAACGATCCAAAACCCCTGAAAAATTTGCCACAGTATACAGACCAAATGAACCGAACTACATATGTGAAAGCACCCTTAGTCATTGTAGTACTGAAAATGAAACACTTGCATTTTGGGCTTGGAATATCATTTTCTCTAGGAGTGTAATTCTGGATGAGCCCCGATTTACATTAAATTAATCATAGCCAGAGACAACATAGGCAAGCAATGACACATACATTTTGAATGCAAAATAGGTGGTATAATAATCAGTTAAGTGGGAGAAACAAAAACACCTGATAACACATGTGCAAGAATTGGTAGTAAGAAGATCCTCTTCTCTTAACAGGGTTAACACAGTCTCATCCCAAAAAGTCATATAACTGACGTCTTGGGACGTTTTTTGACCATACGTCAATATCCGCCTTTTTAGGGCCCCCTTAAACGTCGGTAGATGGCGATCCCGGGCCGTCATACAACTGACGCTTTACATTTAACGTCAGTAAGGTGACGGGTTAGGTTTAGGGTTAGGTTTAGGTCTGGGGTAGAGTTAGGATCCCATAACCTCATCTACCGACGTTTAAGGGGGCCCTAAAAAGGCGAATATTGACATATGGTCAAAAGACGTCCCAAAACGTCAGTAATATGACGTCTTGGGATGAGACCGGGTTGACAGGGCATTCATTTTATAGGGGAACTCACCAGACCTTGACGAGGCGTTCTTCATTTGCCATTTTTAATTGTACAAGAGGGAGAGAGAATAATATGATATATTATCATATACACACATTTACATTTAACAAACAGCAACAAACATTGTCTTATAGATATAATCAACTTGACATTTATTGATCTAGTTAGCATCATTCCATGTTTGTTTATATTGTGTGCGTGTGTGGGGTGGAGGAAATGCTGATGTTGAGAGAAAAGACTACAATAAATTGATTTTACTAAATCTCTGGAAACTACGTTTCACAATAAGAACAAAAATGCAGTCTTCTCTTTTCCGTTGTTCTTTGCTGTCAACTTGTGAGTTTGTGTGTGACCTTCCTGGTGGAAGTGTCAAAAGTGTCAAAACACTGCAGTCCACACTATTCAGAGTCTGAGATTATGGCAGTGTATTTTTGGACAGGGAACCCCTTAGGGACATCCAGCCAATGAAGTCCTGTCCACCAGCACATAAGAATCATAAACAGGCTCTATCAAGAGCTTTCTGCTCATTATCATCATCTGACAGCCAAGTGTTGATGTAATGCAATTTGATTTAATACTCTCATGAAATTAAAGAATGAATAATCAGAGAAATGACATGAAGATGAGCTCAAATCACCTTCACAGGGTTTGTTAATATGCATGACAGACACAATGAACATCGGGGTTTCCGATTATGTTTCTGCAGCAAAATGTCGTGTTTTAGCCTTTCTGCCTTCTTAAAATTTTCTTCTTGAATTTTTTTTTTTTTTTTTTTGGAATAATGTTCACTAAGGCTCATGCATAATATAACCAGAAACATGCATTGAGAAAATTAATAGGCTCGATTTAGAGTTCTTTTGGATTTTCATTGTTTGAATTGCTGCTATTGGGCAAGAGAAAGATGCACAAAATCATATTAACACAAATGGAAATCCTTTGATGCTAAGGCTAAATTTGGACCAAGAAGTCAAGAAATACACGTGTCAGATATAGATATGGCATCAACTGTTCATGGATCACTTTTCATGTTTGAATATTTAGGTCTGTAATCACACACTGTAGCTTTAAGGTCTGGAAATAAAACAAAGGAGCCAAAAGTGTAACAACCTGATTTTCCACTAATCAGTGTAGAATGGTCTCAGAGAAAGAGCTTTCATCTTGTTTCTCAATGGCTGGGCTTATATCCCACACTGGATGGACGACATTAAGTGTCAGCCGGAGAGAAGGGTAATGTCTCATGCCAGTGCATGGCTCTAGGATGGCAGGGTTGGCGCATGTAACATGGGTAAAAGCTGAAGAGTGGCTGTGCTGTGTGAATGTAGGCCAGCAGTCTGATTGTGAGTAGGCTTGCACGTTTTTATGGGTTATCTGCTTCTATTCACTGTGTGGAGAGAAGCACTGACACAGTGCCTGACCTATTTCTAAAATAACGCCTGAGGCTACACATATAGATAGAATGAACTGTTATCCATTTTTAATTACATTTTAGCAAGCCCTGATTCACTCCCTGCAAAGCCGGAAAGAGGCATGTTTTGCATTTTATCATTATATATGTTGGAAAATATATAAACACAATCAGGCATTTGATATGGGTCCATTAGAGAGCATGTTATTCTGGAATAAGAGGAGAGTTGTGGCACAACTGAAGTGTCTGTTTTAAAGCAGTGAATGAATGGTTTTCCTGCTCAACATCTGGTTGGTTGAGAGGCTTTCAGGCTGACGATATCATTGGTTAAGAGGCAGACTGATACGAGAATGTGCTAGTTCTCTTAGGGTCTTTGTTTAATTCCCGATTAATTTCTTTGCTCTGAAATTTTGTCAGGGATATTTTATGGATAGTTTCAAATGCTTATGGGATTTATCAATCATGCTCCTTCCTTCCTGCGGAGTTTAGTGTCTAAAACACGTTTTCTTTTTTGAAGGGGTGATGAACTGAGAAATCAAATTTTCCTTGAGCTTTGACATCTAAGAGGTCATCATATAATAAGAATATCCTGTAAGTTTCAGAACTGAAAACGTCCTTGTTAGTCCAATAAAAGCTTTTATTGACATCAGCTTCAGCAAACGACTTTTTAAAAGTGGGGAACTATGACGACAAAGGGGATAAAACCCCACCCCCGCAGATGAAGATCAACGCCTACTTCAACACGGCCGGTTTAGCCCCGCCCACCGATTCGTGCATTACACGCATAGCTAAATAACATAGGCCTACCTCGTGATGACAAACCGGATCGAGCTACCGAGCAATACAGAATATTGTGCAGCGCCTGGTTGTGGAAGAAGACAGTCGCTGCATAAGCTTCCTCTGGATTCCAATAGAACTGCATGGATGAACTTTATTTTTAATGACGTTCCAGCTGATGAGGGTAAAACAGTGTCCATCTGTTCTCTTCATTTCACCTAGGATTGTTTTGTAAACAAAATTGGATTTGCTGACCAATTAAGAGTAAAGAACGGTGCTGTGCCGTTTACATTGGATCTGACAGGAATTGTGCAACACACGGACTCTGGGTCGAACATGAATGGGCGAATCATTCCGGTTGCCATTTTACAACATTGGACGTTTTCAAAACAATTTCCCCCACGTGCATTGACGGGTGAGTTGAAACTCATTATAATGCAAAACTGTTCTCCACTCACAGCAGTGGGCGTTTACTTCCAAGTCTTCAGTGCGAGACGCCCATAAAAACCGAGCGTTTTTCAGCTAGGCTCAAACATAGGGTACAAAATAGCCTATTACTTGTTCATTTTGATGTTTTTGAATGCAAAAACCAAGCGAACGTCATAAGTTGACCTCAGACAACAGTATAATAAAATTTTAAAAAGCCAGTTCATAACCCCTTTAATAAAAACTAAAACCTTATTGTCTTGTTCTGTGCTTTAAAGGTGAATCTTCATGAGCAGGACTGAGCACCACTGGTTCATGTGATGTCATGGTTTCCCGTTTATAGCTAATCTGACCTTGGAATAGTTCTTTAACTGTTAACTGCTTGTACATCTGACATTCAGATTTATTCAAATGTCTTAATTTATCATTGAAATGTACTTACAACTGTTATTGCTGGGTGTGAGCAGGTCATATTAACTAGGCACAATAACCCTCATACAGATTCTTTGAACTTTCTTTGGATGTCCCTCCTTCTGGATTGTTGTTGCCTTTTCCAGGTCTCAGATCCAGACTCACATTTTGAGCTGATGGCTAAGACCAGGACTGCAAGCTATGTCCAGCACATCCAGAAATGTTTGATGAATAGCAATGGATGTTTCTCACTTTAATTTGCCTGGAGTCCAGATTTGGACCTAGAGTGGCAATGGCAATTGGAGGGACGTTCTGAAACAGGAGCCTTCCAGAAACAGAAAGACTTAGACGAGCACATTTTTTCTTTTTTCCTGCAAGCCAGTGAACTATAAAGTTTACTAGAACAATCTTTCAGGGAATGACAAGGTTGGTGGCATCACTGGTTCTGGATTTGAGAAGAAGGATCCATGACCTTGGGGCTTCTATCACCATGCCAGGATCACAAAACCTTCCACAGCAAGCAAATATTGCTGTTAACTATTATTTCTATTTACCTTAGGCTTCTTTTTTGTGTATCTTTTTCAAATACTGAAAGCATCATCACTGGCCATGCACTTTCTACAATCAATCCCTGGCATAATTTAAAATGGAAATATGATTGGATGAATATTAGTTCACATATGGTTACTAAGTATGTAACAGAACATGTGTACTCTGGTAATTGTTCATCATGCATGAAAGCAGTATTCACACACTTCTTTCCCATGATAGAATGATGGATCAATATATTCCACAATATGTTTCAGTTATATTTCACATCATATTTTACGATTTTTTTTGTTTGTTTTTCTACTGTTTTTCATCTTTTATACTTTGCATGGTAAATGTTTCTGGAGTGCTCATTACCCTTTGAACAAGAATAATCTCTTTTCTGTGGCGGAGGGTCAGGGCGTTTTGAAGAGAAGCCAAGCTGTGTGTTTTTTATGGCTGTTGATTCATGCACTGAGTATTTGAGATGTCTGAGGAGACTCGATATCAATAACCACACTGTAGTAGTCATATGACTCAATTCTTTGTCACCAGACAGAGATTCGGATGTCTATATGCTCAACTTCTTTGAAGAACATTAGGATCAATGTATGATCTGAAGAGAAAAAAAAAAAACACACACACAAACAAACAAGCCTTCTACACTCATTGTCGAATCTAGCATACTCCTCAAGTCACTCATGGCACCTTCTCTCTGACTTTCTCTGTGACTTTGTTTACTTGAGTGAAATATAGGGGAGAAGAAAATACCAGAATTAGTTAACAAATGTGTCAAACCTTCTACCGTAGACTAGAGTCGCTTCAGTTCTGCCGATTGACATAGACAGGTCAGGCCTGCTTCTCTGCCGAGCTGAAGCTCATCAGAATTTCACTGTGTTGGAAAGGTCAGATGAGCTGTTCGTCAGACGTTAACAGCCTTGACAGCAAAATGACCAGGATGTGACAAAGTGGAATAAAACACGTATGAACTCTGAACCTCTGTCCTGCAACTTTGCAACAAACCAAGAATTAATTAATTAATATATAAGTTAATCATGTACATGCCATTCCTATTCCAACAGGCCTGATTTTATGTTGTGTTTCGTTTCTGTTTTGTGTGGACATCAGTCATCAATAAGGGGCTTTTGGCTTATACTTTCGTTTTGTATTTGTTCATTTTACTATTAAAATGTTTAAATGTTTGCCGCTTCCCACCTCCTTCTTCCCACAACAACGAACCCCGTTAATGTTACATTAGCGAACTCATTAGTGAATTACTCCTCGTTTGTATTTCTTTCTAAATGGTGAATTACTGCATGATACAGTGGATGTTCAGTCAGGCGAAACTAGGATGGTTCACATTACAACACAAACGTCCGTGTGCTGGTCTGATTCAGAAATTTCGTCCAGGAGAAATTGTTGAAATTCTCTGCAGCAGACGGACTCTATCTGTGTCCATAGCGCACAGCGAGAGCACAGGCACCAGCGGTCCGCCCAGCTCCAGCCAGTCCGGTTCCTCCATCAGCCTCCGCTGCTCTTCATTATACTGCGGCTCGTAAAGATAGCCACGAACATCGGATCCGAGCAGCAGAATTTTAAAATCCTATTCTTCCATATCATGTTTAGTTTCTTCCGTCATTGTCATACTTATCTCCACAGCACTTGATAGCTTAGCTTCCAAACAAGATGGCGGATATTGATTTCAGTTTCTACAAGTCCCACCCACTGAACTGTAATAGGCCTGTAGGGTGAGTGGGTCCCACCTCCTTGAATAATAACGATCTAATGTTTGTAGTCTCCACACTTTTCAATGAAATGTGACTTCCTGATTATTATGACGTAAAATGACAATTTTTACGTCATAATAAGCAGGAAGTAAAACACTTAAATCCTTATTTCTCCCATCTCAGGGAAAAATAAGGGAATAAACCATGACCATTCAAAAACACTGGGTTTCTAAATATATAAAGCTTAATGCAAATGGGTGAAGTGTCCCTTTAAGTACAGTTTACAACTAAAATTGGTTTAAACTAAGTATATATATTTTTTTTTTCTACAAGATTTCTGGGTTAATTTATTTATTTTTTATTTTTTTCATACAGACTTCACAATGATGGGAGACTGTTAGATATCTACCAACGCCTCCACAGCACTGAGGGAGCCTTCTTTATTCCACATGACATGGAGGTCTCCAACCAGGAGCTCAATTACATTGTAAAGAAGGCAGAGCAATGGAGAGGCTTCAATGGAGAGAGACGCAAGGTGAGTCTGTGGAAGTTCTGTTTTTTAGTGGTAACAACCTGCACTGAACACTGGGCTTCAAAAAGAACGTCTTCTTGCAAGGCGGCGATCCAGCTGCCATGGGCTGCTCTGCCACAACGCTTGACTGTTGCGAAGCTCTACTCAAGTCTTAGGCGCTTAATTGGATTAATGGCTGTTTTAAAGAAGATGGGCAAAATGGTAGTTGATACTAATCCATCAGATTGCCTCTGCAAAAGATTTATGTCTGTCTGATGGCTTGTAGATGCCCGCTAGCATTGATGAGTAAGAAAGCCTTTGTGATGGTTTTCAGAAATGGACTGTCACGTTGAACTGTTCACTGAGCTTCCTAATATGCATTATAATTAACATAAAATGGAATCAAAGGATATAACATTATTATTTCAAATCATTCTGTTTTCTTTAGTTACATTTATGAATGCCAAAAATTTGTCACAGAGGTTTTTAGCTAGTCTAATTAGTGGGGGCTAATTATCCAAAAAGGAATTCGGCTTGATTAATCCACGGAAATCAATTTCCAGCAATATTTCATTAAGAAAAAAGACCGCTCAATCAACAGAGGGACGCATGAGGACACACACACACACATACACACACGTGTTCACATCTTGGGTGGCAGCTCCTCTTTTAGTGTTCTTGATGAAGAAATGTTATTGGCTGTCAAACAAGTCATTAAAAAGGCATTCTGTAATTCCTAGCTCAAATCGTAGACCTTTGCGAATCACGTTTATTTTCCAGCCCTTTCCAATGACCCTGTTTATGTTTTAGATTCCAAAAGTGCTGCTACAGCTGTGGCAATATTAGTAATGAAGGTGCTACAAATTGGATACAGTTGTTTAGATTGTAATTAAGAAAACAGCATCGTTTAACCAACACACTTGCGAAATCTTTTTTTTAACTAGAGCCGTCTTCATCCCAGAACTGCAGTCATAACCTCCTCTCTCATATTGGCCCTAATTTGCCGTTATTGAACTGATAAAATGCTAACACATTAAACACATTTGCCAGCGTGATGAAAATTTAGGGTTATTGCATTTCACAATTTTTACATTATTCAGGCTGATGATTTTTCATTTAAATAAGACGGGCTAGGCCATTATTTCATAATTATTGTGGCAATTCCTCTATGCAAAAAAAAAAGGGTCACTTTCCCAACTCAGCAAAGACATATCCCTATTAAACTAATTTGCCTACTTGCAAATTTTTGTCATTTTTCCCTCATTAACTATTTATCAACACAGTAGGGAAAAAAATATATGTTGGAGGGGAGGGAGCAGCCAGACAGAGCTGAAACTAATATTTTGCAACTCTAATGATTTTTTGCATCCTTAATTAGATAGAATATGCTTGATATGATTAGGTCAGGATGTAGTAGTTTTCATTAAAAATAGATTTCAGAAACTGTATTCCAAATGTTCCCTCACAATTAAATAATGAATCCGGCACATTCCTTATTATGGACCCAATTAATATCTCAGAAAGAGGCATGATTTTAATAACAAGAGGCCACGAGGCCTTCATTAGCAGAGAATGGGGGTGGAGAGAGCGTAGAAAACATTTACAGGTACAGATAGAGCCACAGGATGCTTGGAAACTTTTTTGAATGCCTCTGGCCAATACATGTGCCGATCATTACGAGTGAATATTACAATGTTGCAAAGATTGACATGCTTTGTCTTGGCCTCAAATCGGGGTTTCCAAAAGCCTTGGGGGGAAATTATATTTATTAAATATCATCATTACAATAAATATAATCTTTTTGAAAGATCTGTTTGTTTTATGTATTTGGGTGCATTTCAAAGGCTAGCTGTGTCTTGTGCTGTACTTTATCTAAAACTATTTTTCTAATGCCTCTGCAATTATTATACATGCAGATTTAATTTAATATCATAATCACACTGGTTTGTAGCACAAATAGTATTACTGTTTACTGCACTTTGTTATTCTTCTTGCTATTTATTTACCTATAGCGGTCATGGGAAGTCTCTCGCATTCAATGAAAGTGTTGCAAAATAAGGTGGATTGAAATACTCTGAATTTTACGCCAAATCTCTGACCTAAAATAAACATACATATACATTTTAACCTAAAATTAGTGTCTATTCAATCTGTCATCTAGCCTTTGGGTATAATATTATTCAAGCTAATAATTTGCTAATTTAAGTAACTTGATTCCCACATGATATGTATAGAATAAAGAAACTGTTCTGACAGTAAAACAGTCATGGGTAATTCATCATTAACGCAAGTTTCTTCATCCGAGCGCTACAACAATAAAACAATCCACAATAAATAATTCTGCAAGTGGCTTGGTCTTATCATGATCAAATTCTGCACGTTTCATGGGGCGATCATAAAAACTAATCTGATTTTTTACTCTTTAATTAACTTCATATTATGGTTTATTTTCTTCCAGGCCATGTGATCAACATTATTACATTATTAGCACATTGTCATACTAGCATTCAGCAGCATCTGAAAAAAAGGAATGTGCATTTCATAAACACACATAGCATGGTTAGTGTGTTTTTTTTTTTTTTTTTTTTGCAACCGCATAGACTTTGTTCCGCATTTGACTATGTTTTAACTGCACTCCTATAGTGTGTATATCTTAGCAAAGGGGCCTAAAGTCAAAGTGTGCGGATAATGAGCTCATTAATTATGTATAGGCACTGCTGCAGATGGACCTCATTAATTGCGTGCCGTCACCTTCTTGATTACTGTACCTGGAAGGGTGGTGCTAATGTCTGCCGTGCTTAAGCAGGTAACGCAAACTGTTTTGTCACCGGCTGTGTGACAGTGACAGAGGAGTCCGGCGTCGCTGTAATCTTCACCGTAATTCACCAGAACGTTACGCTAATGGCTGCTGATAGCCCTGGAGATGTTTTCGCTACTGAATCGCATCGAGATTTGCGCTCTGTCGTGCTATTTGTCTCCACATGTCTCAGTAATGTCTTTCCACGGGCTGAATTTAGGGAACACCCAAGGTGCTTTGCAAAACAACTGACAGGGGGCCCAACCTGTCGCAGGAAGGAGAACACACGCATTGAAGATCTAATGACGGCCAGACTGCCGCTCTCTTCCTGTGCACCCCCCACCACTCATCTCTCTGTCTCTCCGTCTGTAATTATTAAGACGGGAGTTACGTGGGACCTTTTCATGCTGCTGCTTTAGTCTAACTTTATGATGGCAAATTCATCATAGAACTCGCTCCAAGCTTCAAGTTGCCTTTGTTCACATGATGAAATATTGTCAACTACTATATGTTATATTTGAAAGTCAGAAAACCCTGATAAAATTGTATTATTTATTTTGGCATCTGCTTTTCTTCAAAGTACAACATCAAGAACATCTTTGGGTCAAGTTTCTTTCCAAATGCAAATGAAAGTGTAACAAATTATATGTTTCTGTAAAAATGAAAAGAAAAGAGACATATTTTAGACCTTTTAATATTGTGTTTATTACAATTAAGCAAAACTTTAAAAAATATATAAAAAACCCTTCTGTAATTATACACTATATATCAGTAGTATTATATTTATTTTTATATTTAATAAACCAATACTTTTATTCAGCAAGAATCTGAATATCATTATATTGATTAAAATGACAGCATAACTTTCTGTTTATCAAATATATTAAGGATCTGCTTTTCAATAATAAGAATTGTTTAGGCACCAACTCAACATATTTGAATGATTTCTGATGGATCATGTGACCCTGAAGACTGGAGTAATGACTGCTCAGCTTTGACACCAATGGAATTAATTACATTTTTTAAAATATATTAAAAAACATAATAATTGTAATAAAATTTCCCCAAATTACCGTTTTGACTGTTTTGTTATAACCATATAAACCCATAAATGCAGCCTTGGTAGGCATAAGAGACTTCAATCTAAACATTAAAACATTTTACTTACCCCCAACTTTTGAATAGTACCATATATTTCTAGCCTGGCAAAACCCAGACAACTTCCGGCAAATTTATATTTGTTCTGAAAGTTAGAGCTCTGGCATAGAGCTCATTCAAGCCCATTTCCAATCCGTCAAAATCGCGGCACCAATCAGAAACGTTGGGGCGGGCTTTACACGATGACGACAGCGCTGGGATTTTAAAGCTGATTTTGTAGTCTACATTACAAAGATGGATGCCATCACTCGAACATCACTTGTTTGAATTACAGTACCTATCGCGTCTGTTTTAAGCAATTTGTACGTTTCCTTTTGGTTAAAAACCAAGCAAAGAACAACACTCGGAGATGTTTCTCCGCCAACCGCCGCTTTGCATACGTCATCCTCTTCATCACTCTGATTGGTTTTAAGTCTATCCGCGACATCCGTTGGTGACGCCCCTCTGGAAATGATTTGTCTATGTTTTGCCAGACCATAACTCAGTTACAACTGAGAATGGTTTGGTTTTAACCAGGCTAATATATCTCAGTATTACATTTTTAAAAAAAGCTTGGCATAACTAGAAAGATGTATATTTGTAACTGTAGGTTTAGATTTGTAGTTTGGTTTATCTTATTTTCATGCTTGTTTTGTATTAATTTAAGTAATTTTATGTCATCTTGAGGCCTGCTTGGAAGTTTGTTGAGGCCCCGGTCCCCTGCTTAAGAGAATGCTCAGGATAAGTTTGAGTGTTATTGTAATTTAGAGAATTCATCTTATTTTTTTTTTTATTTTTTTTTATTATTATTTTAGTCCCACATACATTTGAGGGATTTCCCTGTACTCTCACGTTTGGTTCGCACCTACAAAAAGCTCACCTGCTGACTAGCCGTCCATGACCAGCAAGCTCCGGAAACTGTCATACAACAATGGGCCTTAAAAAAAAAACCTGGAAAAACACCCAAAACAGGAAGATAAACACAGGAACGAAGGGGGAAGATGCTCCGAATCTCTCCTGATATGGGAAGGGTCACAGGAAGGCACCTGCAGCCCTCCCCCTCCACTCCGCCAGCCTGTTTGCTTGCATT